CAGTTTTCATCACTCTTCTTTCCTCGAGGAGAGAGAGAGGGAGACCAAGAGCTGTACCTCAGATGGCCACTTACAAGCTTTTAAGGCCTCCATTGCTACTCACCAAAGCAGGATATGAGACATTAATTTTGTAAACTGTGCTATGTCAATTGATCTCAGCGTCCTTCAAGACTATGGTCCTGAGTCCTCAGGCCCAGTGCTTCATTCGCTCAGATGTTTGGTTCTCATTGCTCGGCCCCTGTGAGCACCACTGTCATGGCTATATTTGCAGGAAAGGCAAAGATTTGTGGGTATAAAAACCCACTGTCCTTTCAACACCCGTTCAGTTTGCATGTCTAGTTATACATCTACTTTTAGATCACTGCTACTGCAAGATTGTGTATGGCACAGTTTTTCATTCTTAAAATGACAGTCACGGGTTCTTAAAAAAACACCTATCAAGACTTGAATACCCCTTGGGTATTCCACTTCCACCCCATACACTAAGTCATCATCACCTTCTGAGCTGACCTTTAATACCTTGAATTCAACTTGCCCAGCAGATCCCTTTGGAAGCCACTGTTTTGAATGAACTCTTTTCTGCTTAAGGGACTCTCACAAGACTAAAGACCAGTGTGTTGTCTGCAGCCATCCACTTATCACAGAGCTTGGCCAAAACAGCCTTCATTTGGAATTGACCTGTGCATGTATGTACTGGAATCTTAGTAGCAATATTATTTTGCCTTATATTTTCAATACTCATAAAAAACAAACTCACTGTCATCCAATTGGTTCTGACTCATGTTCAACACTGTAGGACAGGGTACAACTGCCCCTGTAGGTTTCTGAGACTGTAACTCTTTATGGGAGTATAAAATCTGCCTCATGTTTTTCCCTTGGAGCAGCTGATGGCTTTGAACTGCTGACTTGAGGTCAACAGCCCAACTTGTAACTACTACGGCACCAAGGCCCCTTTTAGGTCTTTTTATTTATTTTATTTTATCTCATTAAGATTTATTCATAAATGCATATTTTTAATTTGGAGCTAATATATCATTCCACAGTTTAATTACATCAAGCAGAATTGTACAATTGCTACCATCAGCTTATAACTGCTTTTAGGAATTTTAATATAGCATTTTATTTAATAATACGGTTTATAATCTTTATATAGCATATTTATAAGCAAAAGAGGCAGCTGTGAGTTAAAATTCTTTCATTGAGATGGCAATGTAAGATCATTTCATTTCATAACCAAAAATTATCAATGTAGTTTCGTAGGTAAAGTTGTTAGCATGAATAATAAAATTAGAGCCACTGGCTTATTTCTAATTATTTAAGTGCTTCATTCACTTTCTTTGGTGTTTTCATTCTCGGGGCCCAGAATTCTCATTGATGTATGCTGCGGAGTCATTTCCCACGCACAGTAACCCTAACAGACAGTAGATCTGCCGGTCTGGATGAAGAGGAGACTGCCGCAGTTCTCTTTCTCAAAGCGCCTGTTGGCTTTGAACCGCCAACATTTCAGTTAGCAGCCCGGCGCTTAGCCAGTGAGCCACCAGGACACCTGGGAATTATCCTAAGTAGCAATCTTCACTGCCGATTTTGACTCATAGTGACCCTACGGGACAGAGTAGAACTGCCCCTTTGGGTTTGCGAGGCTGTAATCTTTGTGGACACTGGTCAGCAGCTCAGCTTATCACCTCTGTGTTCCTAGGGCGCTGCAGGACTACCATGGACTCAGACAGTTCCGACTCGTAGTGACCCTGTAGGGCAGGTAGAACTGCCTGCCCCGTGGGCTTCCCAGACTGACTCTTTTCGGTACTGGAAGGCCTCATGTCTCTCCTGTGGAGCCGTTGGTTTTTGAACTGCTGACTTTGTGGTTAGCAGCCCAGTGTGTAATCACTGTGCCACCAGGGCACCTCCCAGTGGGCAGAAGGGTCAAATAAGTGTACCACAAGTTTCAGCCTACTGTAGAGTGTAACTGTCAGAGATGTCATGGGACACAGAGGTGATCTCCTAACCTTTTCTAAAGTGCTAGTTTACACAGTGGTGAGTTGACTCAGATGCGTGCATAGAAGGGGGGGTAAAGGGTTTTCTAGCTAGAGATCACTATGTATTATAATGTGAAATGACTTTTTATAGGTCAAAATGATTTAACACTGATTCTTTCATATTCAAAATATGAAGACAGCAGGGGTATATTAAGCATGATCTATTACTCGTATATTGAGGGTGCAGGCATAGTGGTTATAAGTTGCGCTCCTTGCCACAAGGTCAGCAGTTTGAAACCACCAGCCACTCCTCAGATGAGGCTTTCTACTCCCGTTAAGAATTCCAGTCTGAGAAACCCATAGGGGCAGTTCTACCCTATCCTGTAGGGTCTCTGTGAGTCAGAATCAACTCAAAGGCAGTGAGTTTGAAAGGAGAGAGTCTAAAGAGAGTCGAAAATCAAGGCAGTTAACAAGTACCAAATGGTGAAGAAAATTTTGTTCTTGACTACAAATACTTTTCCAATCCTGTCTCATACTATCAAGATTAATGAAAGAAACCTATAGAAATTTCAAACTCTCAATTGAGGTAGAGAGAGAGAAGACTGTGAGTAATGAAATGTTAGGTTATTTAGGACCGACTCCCTCCTCAGTGCCCTGTGAGCAGAGGGCTGTAAGGGCTACTAATACTCGAAGTTGCAGTGTTCCACAAAGATGTGTTTTCTGCGCAGCCTCTCACCCTGACTGCGAGCCCACTCTACAGTTTAGTCTTCTGTACTTCACGCACTATGTACTCATTCTTTCACTTTTATTGTAGGAATGTAGATACGACTGATCGTTTTAACTACTTTTTACAAACTAGTGTGAATTAGCTGAAGATTTAGAGAGCAGATGATCAGTTTTCCACTCGTACACAATTCATACACATACTGTTTAATTCGCTCGTTACATTCCCCTCAACGTAACGTCATCCACCCCACCTCCTGCAAGTATTCCCTCTCATCGTTGCTCCTCCTCTCCTAAACCTTCGGAATGTTATCCTGGCATGCTGGCTGCTCTTTGGATGGCAGGGAGTCTGGTTTGGTTTGGTTTTCATCTGAATTGGTGATGATTCTAGCATGTGTGCATCTCACTAGTGTTACTGTCCCCCTTCTAGACCTATGTGTTTTTTGGCTGAAAATTGAGTGGGGGGAGTTCAGTTCCAGACCTGAAAGGGTGACTGAAGGGCCATAGCCTTGGGGGGTGGGTAGGGTGGGTGGGTGGGGTCCCACTAGTCTCTATTTGACCATTAAGCCTGGTTTCCTTTAAGATTTGGAGTTCTGTTCCATGAACTTTCCCTACTTTCTCTAGCACCGTCTATTGTGATCTTTCTCAGAGCAGTTTATTGTACTAACTTAGCACCATCTCGATCATAGGTTCCCACTCTTATTTTGCCTACCGCTCCTTTTTCGGTAAAAAAAAAGTTGATTTGTACCCCCCTGGCAATTAAAAATGTAATATAGCCCACAATCCAGGATAAAGTGTAGGCATTGCTTTGCAGCCCCCCTGGATCACTCTGACATCTCCCCCAGGGGGCAGTATCTCCCACTTCGGAAAACACTGACCTAGTACTGGAGACTGGTGTATTTTAGCCAATTTTAAGTATAATTCAGTGGCATCAAGTACATTCCTGAAGTTGTAACCATCACCACATCCAAAGATCTTTTATCACCCCAACAGAAACTCTACCCTTTCATACTACCTCCCCAAACTGCTTCTGCACACACTCACTCTTTTCTCAAGTGCAATACCCTAACTGTGATTAACCTTTTTATTTATGGCTCAGAGGCATTAGGAGCACTCACTCATCTTTGACATGTGAGTGCACACAGGGTTGCACTGAGCTGGGATTGGAACGGGAACAATCATGCGACTCATTCACGTGTTGTACCCTCTACTTTTGTGTTCTTGGATGAATGCTGAGTAGTTAAACTTAAGTCCAGATAAGTGGAAGTATTTGTAAATTAGCGATATGTTTTCAGTTGATTACACATACATGGTTTCTAATGCTCAGGTAGAGCACTGGTGGCATAGTGGCTGCGAACTGGGTTATCCCCAGACCACCAGCCACTCCAAGGAGCAACAACATGAGGCTTTCAGCTCTTCTCAATAGTTACAGTCTCAGCAACACACGGGGTTGCTGCGAGTCGGAATTGACTCGATAGCTGTGAGGTTTTTTTAAGTATTGGTAATAATCATCAGCTTATATGTATGGTTTTTTTGTTTTTGATATGTGGCAGTGACCAAAGGAATTAGTTGGACTTCGTCGGTTTGAAACTTTTCATAGAATTCATCAGATGAATGTCTCTCAAGCAAAGGCTGAAGTGCTCATTCCATCATAAGGAATAGGACCGATTGACCATTGACCAAATGGCCATTGTCATTCAGATTCAGATGTGTCCAGATTACCTGGATCACGGTATCTACGTACGGCATTTACGTTACCCCACTGCGTATCCTGGGGTGCAGTGTTCCGCCCGGTGCCTTGCTATCCATTTGAGGTGTGCGGATGATTCTATAGTGCGTGGAGGTCACCCCACCCTAGTGGAACGTATCCTACTTTCTAGGAAACTACAGACTTGTTTAATTTGAGCTTGCTTGATGAATGTTTTCGTTTTCAAGTGAAAAGAGTCCGAGAATTCATCTTGAGTCACTCAGTCTTTCTAATCTTTCAAATAACCAAAAGAGCATGTAACACTTTTGATAAAATCAAAGCACCTTGGGCAGGTCATCTGTAATATGTAAGTCCCAAAGCAGACGGTAATGTCAAAACCCGTTGTGTTAATGTAACATTCCATACTTTTGGACAAATAAGTGGACTACAAAGACTGAAATGAACTACTCACATATATTCACGCCACGTCCAGTTTTTATTCTTTGACGTTGTTAACCAAGTCTGATTTCCCTATTTTAATCATTGCTTGTTGTAAATGGTAAAAGGTGTGTGGAGTCTGCTGCTGGTAGAAGGTACATAAGTTGTTTCTTCTCCAGAGTGAAGTCACCCTGCTGAGAAATGAAGTGGCACAGCTGAAGCAGCTTCTTCTGGCTCATAAAGATTGCCCTGTAACCGCCATGCAGAAGAAGTCTGGCTATCACAGTGAGTAATGGCCCATTACCTGTAGCCTCGGGCTGCAGCACTGAAGTACTGCCAGCGAGCGCCAAGCTGCCATTAAGAAAATGGAGGCTGGGGCTCTAATATTTAAGATTAAATACCAGAATTTCTGCAAGGCTATCATGGAACCGCAGGAGCTATGTCTTAGAATCCAGAGGGGTTTGGGGTTTTGTGTTTATTTCCAGCTTTTGGGGTAGGCAGTACCATAGATTAACAGAAAGGGTTGGTTATAATTGAAAGTGGGCTGTAGGTGCTGATGATATGTATTTCTCAGGGTGCCACTTGATCTTCAGTGGACAGAGTGAAACCCTGCTTCCTTTCCAGCCCCTGTCAGTAATGATAGGATTCTAGTTGTTGTTTTTTTAAATCAACGACCTTCATTTAAGGCTATCTAGTATCCATTTTCTTAGATAACATCAGGATTGTGTGCAGTGTTTTTATTATTTTGAGCCTTTCTGTTGAGCATCCTAGTTAGTTACTCATAGAATGCTAACGCAAAATGGTTTTTAAACTATCTGCTTGTAGATGCCTCCATAATTGTTTTCCTCCCCAAAATGGGTTTCTTTTGTTTTCCGCATTTTCGAGGTGAATTGTGGTTTTCCCTTCTAGTGATGTCCTCTTTTTGATAAGATGCACCATGTTAGAACCAGCTGTTACTCTTGAATAAATGGCCAATTCTGTCCATCGCACACAAATTTGTAACAAATAACAGAGCTGGGAATGCATTAGGCAACATTCATAATATATAACCCACAGCTTTCATTTTTATGATTTAGTGAGATTTCAGGATATTTGTAAATGTGAAGATTGTTTCAGCCATATGTATCCACTTCATTTTAATTTGCCAGTGTCAGTAATTCAAAGAAAGAAACCGTTTGTATTGGAAGCAAGCAGTTCCTCAGGTGCTCACGATAAAACTTAATGGCCACCATCTTTACTTGTAGTCGTTGTAAGCAGTTTCATCAGAATGGGCAATCTTTTTTAATTTAAAAGATTCAGGAGATTTAGCAACTCTCCCTTGCTATATATATTTAGAGCACTGATCTTTGTCAGTTTTGAGCTTATAAATCTCACTCAGTCCTTTGGTATCTAGTCCTTTTGACAGGACGGCAAGGCCCGTTGTGGAGTAAATTGGAGTCATGTAGAAATAGGTGTGGGGTTTGCGTTAAGCATGATCACTGCCAGGAGAGAGACCATGATGGCTCTACCTGAGGTACAAGGTCATTTCCTAGAGGAGCTACTGAGGACAGCATTATGCAGACTTGGTTTTCCTAAATGGGAAGGCTTTCTTGAATTTGGATAATTCAAAAAGAAATAGAGTAATAATTCTATAAAATTCAAAGGGAGTAACTCAAATTGCATTTAGTCCTAATGTACCTGTATTTTTGCATTTTAAACCGGCTCCTGGGTGACCCCAACAGTTTGATCCCCGTGTCCAGACGCAGTCAATAAAAGCCAGCTTTCTACTTTAAACAATCGTGCGGTCACATCAAACTTCTAAAGCTAAATGAAGTGATTGGAAACCCAGACTAACAATTCATTAATAATACACTAATAACACATATTGTGTCAGGTTATAAGAAGGTACAAAATGAATGACATTTTTGCTTTTTGGAACTAATCGACCTTTGCCCTGCCTTGGCAAATAGATTATCAAATTGGCCGAAGTAGAGTATAGGCACTATAATATAAAAACAAATTCACTATTATTTAATAGTCAAGGTTGATACGGAGATCAAGTGACTATAGGTTGGAGATTCACATTTCGTCATGTTGTAGAATGTAGCAGGGCTCCCATATTTAGCATTGAATAGCAGAACTTACACAAGGTTCTAAGGGAAGCCGAGGCTGCCCGTCTTGGGGTCTTAGTGTTGTTCTGCCTTGTTTCTTCATCTCCTCCTTGCAGCGGCTGTTCCTAGGCATCGCTGCAGGCTCACGGAAGCTCTGCGCGGTGCCACGTTTCACCATGGCGTGGGATATGGCAGTCGTGAATAGTGGGGAGCTGTAGGAATAGTTCATTTTTAACAAACAGTTGTGAAAGGAAGCCAAGACTTGCTAGAAATTAAGGAATATTGCAGGTAGTAATATTATTGGAGGGAAAGATGACAGCCTCACCTGATTTGAACACGTCCTGAAGACCAGTGTCTGGGAAGGACATCATGCTTGTTGAAGTAGAAGGTCGTTGAAAACGAGGAAGGCTCTCAGCGAAATGGATTGACCCAGTGGCTGCAACAAGGGGCTCGAACATAACAACAGTTGTGAGGCTGGTGTGAGTTGGGGCAGTACTTGCTTCTAATGTGCATGGGGGTGCTCTGAGTCGGCATCGACTCGATAGCTCTAACAACGTAGCACTTCAGAGAGACTCAGATGGTCAGACAGCTGGTTTCCCTCAGCTTTCCTAGGACCCACGGTGGTTCTTGGAGGGCAGTCGCATCTCCTGTGCTTTCTAGTGCTGGTGGTTATTGTGTACATTTTCAGGGTTGATAGAAAGCCTGCGTACTGCCACTTGGAAACAACTACATACAGAGTATTCTTAATGCCAAGTGAAAAGAGAGCCAGGTGTGAGAGAATAGTCCCTGGATGGTACTATTTTTAGAATGTTCAAAAATAACAAAACTAAGCTGTGCTATTTACGACACACCTAATAGGCTAAAACTACAAAGAAGACCCATGCAAACGGTGCAGATAATATCCAGATGGTGCCGCCCTTCGGTGCACAGGGAGAGCTCCCCGAAAGGAGGCGTCCTCGGTACAGGCAGGGCTTGCTCGCTCCTTGCCCGTTAGGATCCGGGTTCACAGGTGTTCCATTACCACTGGACTTCCTAACTTGTATGTGCTGTGAACTATGGGTGCCTGCCCTGTAACGCTGGGCTTCTCACCCACTGAAACAATGTGATTCCAATTTGCTACAGTGAGAATGGAGGAGATCTGTTGTTCGGGCATAAAAATTGGTAGATTCGTGTTCATAAATATTTAGAATGCCCTTTACTGAAGATCTTTTCAATGGCAGCATCTAGGGTTTACTTGGAATTTTTATTTGAGTCCCAATTAATTCATGCAACTATAACAGCTGGTGGCATTTAAATTCTAAATTTGCTTATTCTCATGTGTATGCATCATTGGGATCAGGTGTAGTAATCATCCATCGCTGCAATGGATGGAAAGTCAGCCAGAATAAATATAGTTCTGGAGAGTGCAGGGGGGATAATTTGAAAATATAATATATATGTAAGATTCCATTTTGTTTATGCACGTAGGAGTTATAAAGTCTTTTTTAATCTTTTAATAAGAATGACATGTAGACAAACAGTACTAGCTTTGTTAAGTGCGCTGGGTTATATAAATGTTATAAGAGCTTGGTAAGTGGCTGATTACATCTGTAAGAAGCCATCTCTCATACTCCCACCCCCTTATTTTCCGTAACGTTATTTGGCACCGTTTCTCCAGCTCTGCTCTGGGAGGTTATCAGTCCCTCAGCGTTTCCATGTGTGTGGCTATGCCTGCATTTGACCTGTTGCAAGGAAAACTGCCTCCTGGTGGCACATAGCCCCTTCTTCAGTTACTCCGTGGCCTTCATGCTGGCTTCCCTAAGTAACCGGTTCCATCAGATACCATCGAGCTCTGTATGTTCACTCAACCTACTGATACCGATATTCCATTTAAGAAAGTGAGTCGTTTCTCTTTCTCCCCCTCAGCTGCTGATAAAGATGACAGCTCAGAAGACATTTCCGTGCCGAGCAGCCCACATCCTGAAGCTATCCAGCATAGTTCTGTCAGCACATCCAACGGCGTCAGTGCAGCATCCCAGGCCGAGGCGGGGGCTCCTCCCGTTCTCCCCCAGATGGCGGACCAGAGCACAGAGCCCGCGCTCGCGCAGATTGCCATGGCGCCTTCCTCCCAGTCTCAGCCCTCAGGAAGTTGATTAGAAACCCAGCCCTCAGCGCATTCGTTTTAGATCCTCATTAGTGACTTCAAAGGGAAATCAAGGAAAGACCAGTTTCCATTTGTGCGAAATCTGTGGTTGTAAATTTTTATTTTACTTGAAATTACATTTGGCTCTAAAGTTGGTATAGCAGCAGTTGATAATCAGACTGAACAAAGTTTCTGGAAAAAGACTGATTATGCTTTTTTTTTATAAATGTTGTCAGATTTATTAATTTTTCTGTGCTCAAGGTGTAAATTGTATTATAATTCTTTGTGAATTATTTCACTTTTCATTTGGTGGTGGTTTAATAATGGAGGTGTTACTGAATCTCTTCCCACTTCCATGTCTGGGAACCTCCTCCCTCACCTGTGATGCTGGTGTTGTTCTGTGTCATTATACCAAAGTTCTGCATAGTCCCTGTTGACTCTGTGAAGGTAACAAGGTCAGAAGCACTAGGCAAGAGAAAGGTGGAAATTTGCTTTTGATCTTTTTTGCCTTTTATTTTGCACATTATGCAAAAGGAAGAACGTTCGGGAACATTTTTTTTTTAAGTGAAACCTTAGTCAAAGGCATATAGTGCTGTAATGCACACTCTTGATCAAGGTCAGTAAAAAGAGTGTTTTCTTTTTGTAAGATATTATGTAGACATGAATTGTGGAATCCTTCATCATTTCAAAAATAACTTTATTTTTAAAGTCTTAAATTCAGTATTTACCCTAAGTTTTGAGCCTAAAAAGAAAAAGAAATTATAAAGTGTACAATACAGGGTTATTCAGTATCAAACAATTTTGGAAATTAGACTTTTTTTTCTTATATTTCAGATTGCAAACTGCGAAGTTTATGCATAATCAAGTATGGTATGGTTGCCAGAAAAGCCTAAAATTACTACTTAGAAAATGTAAGACTGTTTCTCCCCATTGTCTTGTATTTGTGAGCTAACTTGTACCTATTCTTGTGAAAGCACTGTCATCTTTTAGTAGCAAATTTTGATAATGTTTCTTGTGGAAAAAAATCAGTATCTATCTTTAGAACAATGTAATTATAACGTGAGAAGTGAGGATGCGTGTGTGCGCGCGCGTGTGTATGTGTGCTGTGTGTGAATGGGTATGTGTCTGTCAGTAGTTGATGGCAGCAATCTTTGCTTGAATGTTTAACGATGCCTTCCGTGTGATGCTGGCCAATAGGTGATTGCCGTCTAAAATGTCATTTCTGTGCAGGCTTGGATAACTAACATTCCATGATGTAGTTTGTTTCTGATGAGATGATTGTAGGTACACTTTTCTCATTATCCAATCACCTGTGGGATACTGAGTTTTCTAATGTGCCATTATCGATTTTTATTCTGAAGTTATGTTCAAACGATAGTACAATATTTTAAAATAGCCTAAATTGTTTTTAAAAAATTACAAAGTAGTAGATGTGTGTATGAAAAATGTAAAATAGTTCTGAGGCCTACCCAGTAGCAACTTCTGGCATTCTAGCAAGATTCCAGTGTGTAAATGCCTGTAATGCATCGATAGTGAGTCGTGTAGTCTGTTCTGCATCCATGCTACACTATTTGCTAACGTCTCAGTGCCATCTCTTAATGAGACTGACATTTTACAATCCTAGATGGACCATCCTTGTTAATTCAAGGATATGTCCCACCTGCCTAAGTTACAAACTGGGAAACATTCAAATTATACAAATGACATTTCAAGATTTTTAAGTATGAAGATAATAGGGATTTTATTGTTTGGTTTATTAAGAATGAGAGAGATTTTAGTTGGTAATTCTACTTCTAAAAATTTTTTATTTTTAACTGATTTTATAATTTTTAAGTAACCAATTTCTAATCATGATTTTGCCACAGTTATGCTAAGGAGTTGATCTCAAAGGCACAAAATATGAATTCTGGAGGAAAGCTATTTTTATTGTAGTTTTGATGAGTTAGGGAAAACCTCGTTGGTTCACTCTCCTAGGTCTTTCAGTGCATATTTTTTTCATCGTATTATTTATGCAAGTTAAAGTTCTTTGGTAACAGAATTCTTGCAACTGTAAAATAAACTACATAGATGTAAACGGTTAATGAGCTTACCAAGGTTAGCAAAACTTTCATTGTAAACCAATCTGTACTCAGCAAATAAAAATCATTATTAGTTGTGTGAACACAAACTCCATTCTGACTCTCAAGACGTCGCACTACTCTGTACCGAGCATTTGGAGTCCTTATATTTGCAATGTTACACAAACTGCACTATTTTCTTTATGTGCAGTTTGCATGAGTAAACCATCAGAGAATAAATTCTATCTTTAAATTATGTTCATAATGTACTTGTTCTTACCTTTCTCTCATTAAGTTAAATTACCTCATCATCAAGAGTTGGTCTTCCCCGCATCCCCCCCCTTAAATTTCCCGAGGAGAACCTGTGACTGGTTCTAGTTCAGTGATCAAATGAATTGGGTGCTCAGACCTTGATCTACTGGTTTGCATTCCCTTTCAGCCCCCGTCCACATGCAGTGGACTTAAGTTTATGTTCTCTGCCTGGAATGTTTCCTGAACTCCAGCCCCAGATCCACCTGTTTTTGCTGTCTCTTTGTGACTACCTAACAAAACATCTTAAGCATGATATGCCCAAGGCGGAACTCCTGGTCTCCTCTCAACCTTCAAGTACACACCTATACCCCAACCCCACACACATAATCTCCTATTTCAAACGATTCCACTGGCGTCATGGACTTATACTTGAAGCACCTTGTCAGTCATCATTCCTCTCCCTTTTCACACCCCACGTCTAATCTGGCAGGAAACCTTGTTTGCTGTCTGGTCAAAAGGATTTTAAACTCAACTCTTTGGCATTCCTCACCTAGATGCCTCACTTTCCTGCTTCACCCTGGCCTGCCACCGACTCAGCACAACAGCCAGGATGATGCTTTCAAAGCAGAAGTCGGGTCACAGGCCTCCTGAAGCCCTTGGGTGGCTCCCCCTTTCACTCAGTGAGGGCTGGGGTTCTTCCAAGGCCCTGACCTGCCTCTTCCCTGTGCTCTGCCCGCCCGTCTCTTACCACATCTCCTACCACTCTGTTTTATGTAGATATTTTGAATGTTACTAGATGCCAGGCAAGGATCCCTGGTGGTGCATTGCTTAAGCACTCGCCAAATGGGCAGTGATTCAAACCTCCCAGCATCTCCTCGGCAGAGAAGACCTAGCCGTCTGCACCTGTGAAGGTTCCAGCCTCGGAAACCGCACGTGGCACTTCTATGGTGGGGCCGTGCGTCCGAGTCAACTCCGAGCCACACGACAGCAGGTGGTGGGTGAAGGTACTACGAATACGCCCAAGAGCCACACTAAACACCTCTGCCTTCCAGGCCTCTCTTGGAAGGAGGCTTGGGAAACATAATTAGCCCAATACATAAAGTGAGTGTTATGTTACAGATAAGTGCTAGGTGAAGAAATATACCTGGAGAATATAAATTACTGGAGTGCTTCGGCAATGATATTTGGGACAGCCAACCTGAAGACACAGGATCACACAGAGGGTTTGTTTTGTTTCTGAGGTGCTCATTCTACCAAACGTGCTTTATCTACATCATCCATGTGCCATTAGATAAGCGATCTCATGAAGCAAAGTTGATGCATTTTTGCAACTAGTAACCCTGTGGATGTAGGACAAGAGTTGAACGGCCCCCATACTGTCCCAGTTGTAGTCTTCGCAGAAGCAGCTCCCACAGGGAGACGAGTGTGTTCAAACTGCTGAACTTGCTGTGAGCAGTCGAGTGTCCAACCACCGTGCCACCAGGGCATCTTGTAATCAGTAAGGCTTACCAAAGGAAGGCTGTATTGAGACCAGATTCATGTTTGATGTGTCTCCTTCCAGAAGGCGAGAACAATAATAAATGTTCGTAGTGTTAAACAGGTTTGCTAGTTATACATCTGTGAGTCTGTAGAGTCTGATGATTGATGTGAACATATTTGTCATGAGATAGCCTTTGGAGAAGACCAGTTGCTCTTAGCCCTTTATCGTACATTAATATGCGTAGGCACACAGAGACACTCTCCCAAAAAGCCTACAGAATAGAGCTGTACAAGCAATTCCAGAATAAAGGCATTTGGAAGAAATACATTTAAAATAGAATGTGTTTTTAGAATATCCTCCCCATCGAAAAATACTAGCTTTGAAAAAACCTGGAAGTATTTGACATAACCCCAAACCAAACTCACTGCCACTGCATCAGTTCCGAAACAGCAACCCTGTAGGACAGCGTAGAAATGCCCTCTGGCTTGCTGAGGCTGGATACATCTTTGTGGGAGTAGAGAGCCTCATCCTTCTCCCAAATCTCTTGTATTTGATACAGTTCTGAAAGCTCATCTTTATACTTTGAATAAATACAAATGGAGTTTGTCTATAATTCTCTCACATGGTTAAAAATGTTGCAGGTCTTTCCAGATCATTAATAAATATAGATTGAGAATTAGTATTTATAAAGGCAAAGTATTAAGATCCTAGAAGCATCCTCCTATGTGAAAAAACAACAACAAAACACCCCAAACTCCCAAGATACATCATAAAGGCCTTCTTGGAGAAATAAACCATTCTACCATTTAAGTGAGTTCCTGTTAGGTGCATGGTCAGTTCCAACACCTGCAGACCCAGTGCACAACAAAGCGAACCCCCGCCTGTCCTGCGCCGTCTGAGCCCACTGTCGCATCCATCGTCAATGATCTTCCTCTTGTTCCCTGACCATCTGTCGACTTTCCCAAGTCGTCTTTTCCAAAGACTGGTTCCTTCTGTTGATAGCATGCCCAAGGTACCCTTCCAAGGAGCATTTCCACTAAACTTCAAGACACATTTGTTCTTTCTTCTGGCCGTTCAGAACGCTTCGTTGACACCGTCAGATGCATCCGTTCTTCACATCTTCCTCACTCGTTGAGCTTTCACATGCATCCGAGGTGATGTCTAACACCAAAGCTTGGGGCAGATGCATCTTAGACCTCAACGTCTCCTCTTTGCTTTTAAGAAGTCTTGCTTATGTAGCACCTCTGCCCACTGTGGGGTCATTTGCTGCTTCCAGGAACGCTGATGGTGAGTTCAAGTCAAATGACTTCCCTGATGTCAGTCTTGTCCCAGTTACCATGGTGATTCTCATTGACCCAATTAAGAGGACTTTTACTTTCTTTATGTTGAAGTGTAGTGTAAATATGTAAGGCTGCAGGCCTTGATCTTCATAACAAGTGCTTTCAGTTCTGGCTTTCGGCAAGCAAGGTTTTGTCATCTGCGAATTGCAGTTTCTTAGTAAGCGTTATTCCAATCCTGATGCCAAATTATTCTTCAGATAGTCCAGCTTCTCAGATTATCTGTTCAGCATACAGATTATGGTGAAAGGATACAATCCTGATGCACACCTTTCTGATTTTAAACCACTCAGTTTCCCTTGTGTTCAAATGGCTACCTCTGGGTCCATGTACAGGTATTGTATTAGCACAGTGAGGTGTCCTGCAATTCCCTTTCTTCCCAATGCCATCTATAATTTGCTATGAGCCACACAGTCAAGTGTCAATTAAACTGAAATAAACATCTTTCTGGTATTCTAGCCAAGATCCATCTAACATCACTGATGTCTGTAATGTCAGATGGTTGGATCTTACTCCACGTCCCCTTCTGAATCTAGCTTGAATTTACGGCAGCTCCCTGTCACTGTACTGCTGCAATCATTTTTGAATTATTGTAAGCAAACTTTTACTTGCATTTGCTATCAGTGATATTATTCAATAGTTGTCACATTCTTTCGGGCGTCCTTTCTTTGTAATGGGAACAAACACTGATTTCTGCCATTAGTTGACCAGGTAGCTGTTCTCCAATGTCTTGACAGCGATAAATGAGCACCTCCTGAACAACATCAGTTTGTTGCAAGATTTCAATTAGCGTTCTGTCTGTCCCTGGAGCCTTGTTTATTGACAATGCCTTCAGTGCAGCTTGGACTTCTTCCTTCAGTATCATTGGTTCCTGAAATGGCTGCATGCCAATCAATTCTTGTCAACAAAGTGACTGTATTCTTTCCATTTTCTTCGATGCTTCCTAATCAGTCAGTAGTTTACCCATCTCATTCGCTGCCATCGAGTCAGTTCTGACTCAGAAACACTATAGGACAAGGCAGAATTGCTCCTGTGGGTTTCTGACACTACTGAAGAAAGTAGAAAGCCTTGTCTTTCTCCCGCAGAACAGCTCGTGTTTTCCAAGCCCTGTCCATGCGTTTAGCAGCCCAACACATGACGCCCTAGGCCACCAGGGGTCCACTAGTTTGCCCACGTTACAATTCAAGGTTTCTTCGGTGCTTTCAAATTGAGACATTCTGAGCATGCTCATCTCTTTTGGTTTGCTATTTCCAAGTTTTTATGTATGCATTTCATCATGACACGCCAACTTCTCCAGCTGCTCTCTGAAATGCTCTGTTCGGTTCTTGTTCTTTTCTTTCTTTCCTGTCTTTTTTCCTGAGTTTTTGCTTTCTTGATGTATGATGTGCTTGATGTCATCCGACAACTCATCTGGTCTTTGGTCATTGGTGTTCAACGTGGTCAAATCTGTTCTGGACATGGTCTCTAAATTCAAGTGGGATGTGCTCAAAAGCTGCACTTTGGCTCATGTGGACTTGTTTTCATTGTCTTTAGCTTCAACCTGAATTTATGAGCAGTTGATGTACTGTTCCACGGTTGGCTACTGATGATGAGCCTCTCCATCACTGCGTTCCGTAGATGTAAGAGATTTGATACCTATGCGTTTCATCTTGGGAGGTCCACGTGTACAGTAATCGTTTATGTTGTTGAGGAAAAGATATTTGTAACAAGTCATTGGTCTTGCAAAATATTGTCGTGTGATGATAATTTCATTTATCGCCAGTGTCTTATTTCTTAACTTCCAAATGTTTCCAACTTTAGCATTCTGATTACCAAGAATTACCAATGCTTCTTGATCCCAGGTTTGATCAATTTTAGACAGAAAAAGTTAGTAGAATTCTTTAATGTCATCATCATTGGTGCATAACTTTGAATAATAGATGGCTTAGCTGCTCTTCTTCATAGGTATATGTATATTGTCCCATCACAGACAACAGTGTACGTCAAGATATTGAAATGTTCTTTTTGATGTTCATTCCTCTTCAATTTGATGTTCATTCCTCTTCAATTTGTTATTTCCAGTGTACTCCACCATGATTAGCTGACTCAGATCGGCCAATTAGGAGAGTGAGCGTTATGTGGCCCACTTCCATCTTGACAACGCGCGGTTTTCCTAGAGTCATGCTTCGCACGTACCACGTTCTGATG